GTCGTAATCATTCTCTCAGGTCAACATTATGTGTCTAGTGGATACATTTTAATCTAGAGGCTTGTAGTGTCTAGAATATTGTTGCTGCTAGCGCATCAATTGAGGAAGAGCAAAATCAGTATCTCACACGTCGTTCTCAAGCGATGGACACCTCTGTTACGTCGATGTGGCGCATTTGCGCTGAACAACAACTTCAAAGTGATCCCGTTTTTCATCGAAAAATCATCTACAGCGACGAGATAAAAAAGTGAGCGATGTAGAAAAAATTGTGTATAAGGGGAGGATGTTGCGAATTTCTATACTCACAGATGGACACATTGGTGCAATGGGCACTATTTGTGCGAAATTTTATACCGATAACTTCAATATGATTTATTTTACACATATATGAACTGAAAAGTGGAAGAATTTGATGTAATTTAACAGGTTGCTAAAGGCGAAGTAGGCGTGGTTGTCATTCAATTTCGCCCATGTCTGTCACAAACCAAATTTGATTGAAAAATATTTCCTGAGATAAAGCATTTTTTCTATAGAAGGGTGGTGCCACGCCCTTTGTTCAGTTTTTATACTTGCTCTTATAGAGCATAGGGCTTCCATTGTGAGCGTGAAATTTATTTGCACCAAATACAGCTAAATTTTTTCCATATTTTATTTACGCTGGATTGAGTGCAATATTAATGGTGGTGTTATATTGATGCATGAGGTCATATGAAACTAAATATACAAATATTAAATCAACTTTTTCCATATGCTCACGGAATGAATTAATTCGGTGTAATATAAACGTATGCAAAAAGAAAAATTAATATAGCAGAAGTCGTGACCCTTTTGCAGCTGATATTGAACAATACTGGGGATGCTTATCAGCAAAAATCATATATGACGATAATACGAACGTACGGTGGTGAATGCTGCACTAGCATGTCATACATGTGTGGAGCCATCGACATTGAACTTTATGAGGTCATATCAAAGGACAATAACCGCATTTATACTAGTGCCAGTACAATAAGAATATTATTTGTTTTGAGGTCATATACATAAATTTCAGTGCATATTATAAAAGATGTAAGAATAAAACATTTTATTAAAACATCTGGTATCCGAATTAAAGATTTTGTAAAGGTATATATTCCACATCGATGATTTTTCAAATGTCTTGCTTCTTCTTCTTATTCTTACTCTCTTCATAATAGATTTAGAGCTTCAAGGATATTTGAAATTAACAACATTAAAAATATGACAAACATGAACAAGGTAAGGTAAAGGAAACGGAAGTAATAGCATGGTAATAACAGGTTAGTTTAAAAGTCCCCGGCCTGACACATAGATGACGCTACTGGAATTACATGCATATGGTTTTTAGTTCGCCCTAACTTTAATGTATACCTTAGTGTACTTTGACTACTGAACCATTAATTTTTGAATTATATCATTTTGATTACGTTATTGTGAAAAAAAGTAGAATATTAATTTTAGAATAGAAAAAAACTGTTGAGGCGAAAACTTGGTGGGATGACGAGTTTCCGCACACTGCCCCCAGAAAAATCTATCACCTAGGATTGGTATGCTAAGTCGTGATATGAGCCCTGAAGACAGTGAACACCTTGGACGCCCAAAAGAGTTTGTTAATGATGAAAAAATCAAAAAAGTTTACATAATAAATTTGTATGGAAGTGAAGTTATTCCAGATAACAGGTACATATATATTAACTGAACTTGTACATCATATCATTCCCGAATATTTGACTATGAGAAAGTTCTGGGCAAAGTGGGTGCCGCGCGAGCTCACTTTTGAACAAAACCAACGACAGGTTAATTATTCGGAGCAGCGTTTGGGCATCCGAGTAGACTGCACACGATGAGAGCACTCCAAAGCATGGAAAATGCAATAGTCGTTTGACAAGGTTATTGAAACGTTTGAAAGACGAAATCGTCGAAAAACGGCCACATGTGAGGAAAAAGAAAGCGTTGCTTCACCAAAACAATGCACCAGTCAATGAAAATGATAGCAAAAAAAAAAAAAAAAAAAAAAAAAAAAAAAAAAAAAAAAAAAAAAAAAAAAAAAAAAAAAACACGAATTTAGCTGCGAATCGCTTCCTGTTCTTAGATTTCAAAACAATGCCGACTCATTTGGAGTTTTCGACGAATGAAGGAGTGAAGGTTCGCGCATTAACATAAGCGATCATTGTCATAAAAATAAGGGATCGAGCATGCAATTTATATATATTTAAATTTAACATATTTTTAAGGATATATTTCACTCAAGGAAGTATGCCCACAAATTGCATTTTGTGGTCAGTTGTTATCAACAGACAAAACGGCAAGGATCGTACATTGAAAGGTCACCTGAAAGTCAAGAGAAAGGTTAAGGTTTGCGCTGTACAGTTTTTTAAGGACTGGATCGCGCTTCAGTTTGGCATCCAAATATGGGATAGCTAAGCAGAATCAAATTTCATAATTATTCATTTATATATATTTTTATATATTTTCAAATTATTATATTTCCTCTCAAAATAAATTTTCAGTAGTCGCTCTCTCGAGAGTTCCATGACAAATACTTGTGAATCAATGAACATTAGATTTCTTCTTTCAAATCATTTCTGATCTCATACTTTGAAAATTTTCTCTAGACATTCATTAATCTGAAATTAATAACGTTATATCTCAACATCATTGCCTTTGCCAAAAAATCTAGTTAGAGTTATCATATTATTACGAATTTTAAATAAAATTGAGTACTAAGCAGAGTGACTGAACATAACAAGTAGTTAACGACTAGCAAACCAAACACAATTATTGGCTCCGAAACGTTAAGTTCGGCTGCTCGAATGATTTTCTCCAACCATAGTTTGTAGAAACCATAATACAAACAGAGACGTTATAAGAAACTTCGTTTCAAATCAAAGCGATCGGTGAATTTCCTCCCAATCCATACTGAGCAAGTTAAATTATTTGACAAAATCGTTCAAATTTCTCCCGGCGTTATTTATTTCTATCGAAAACAGATTCAAAATCGACTGTACCACAAATTATTTCAGAGGTTTTTGGATCCAAGTTAAATAGTTAAGCAAATTTCACGTCGATTTCGCAAATACAAACTCAATATATACATCGACATGTATTACTTTTATTTACAACGTCATGTTTTTTCGACATTTTTTGCTCCAATAAAACTATATATACATATAACCTAAAAAATATTAATATTAAAATTATGTACATGTTAACATTTTAACAAAATTGTACTATAAAAAATTCAATATTTTCTTTTCAAATTAAATCTTAGGACACATTCACAATAATTTGGCAATTTAACCATACGCTCCACCAACACACCGTTCACCAATACTATCAAGCTGCGATAGACATAGTGTTGCTTACATTTAGACGAGACGCCGAAGGGCATCAAATCCTCATATTTACAAGAACTGCCTTCAGCTTCGCACTGCTCCACCAACACGCCTTGTCTATGCCTTTCATGCTGCACCACCAAAACCCATTTGGATTCTTTTGTTTCGACACTTTTCGGATAAATGATGCGCGATTTGCTATTGCAAAAGTTCTCCTCAGCCTCCTCGTTCATGCGATTTGTTACATTCAAGGGTTGCATGAAATCGTCTTTAAAATATGAGCTGAATTGCTCAAATTGCTGCGGATCGATCTTGTTCACTTGTGAGGATTCTAAATAATTTGGCACCTCTGTACAGTATGACTTTCCGGCAGTGCGTTCTGCGCAGATAATATTCTTCCCGTCATCATCTTCGTCAGTTACTTCGTTAGGATGCACGCCCGAGGGTCGCGTGTTGAATACCTTCATGCCTGGACCGACTTTGAAGATACTGTCCAATTTACTAAGCACATCGTTGGGGCCACTCACGTCGGCTTGCGGTTGTGGTCTTCCATGGGTTTGTTGCGCTATTAGCAAGCACCAAAGCGCCGTTAATGTTAATAGAAATTTTGGTTTTAATGGCATCTTTGACTTTTGGAATTTTTATGCTGCGCCACTATTACTTTAGTACGGTGTGTCTCTGCCGCTGGAATTTTTATTGACTACTGAACACTAAAATAAAATTTCCAGCCCAATATATATTCGCAAAGCTGTGTACGGTGTTCACTGTTGAAGACTTCAGGATTATAACTATGCGCAGTACCTGTACAATGTTTCTTTGGTCATTCACCTTTCTGAACACACACCTCAAAGGAATTTTCATTCGGTTTTCCCAAATTATGGGTAACGACACGACACCTCAGGCACTTTTCTGTGTTTTCCCCGTTTCAAGAAAAAAACCTGATCCTTTTTTTTATTTCTGACTTTGATGATTCATATGGATTTAGTGTTTCCATGATCAAAGGTGCGGTAGTTCGCTATGGGAAAAAGTACTTAAGGATAAATTACAGTCAGTATTTTAATAAAATTTTAATATTCCAAAATTCAAACACCTGTGAAAAAGCTGAGACTCTTTGGTTATGTTAGGACGCGCTCACAATTTGCCTTGAAATAATATCTGATGTAAAAATTAAACTGATTTTGGTATTAAATTCTATATTCCCTTATAAATCGTATTTGTAATGTAAAAGCTGAATAGGAAACCTCGGTATACAATCTGTTAATGGGAATAAAAATCCATCATTTCCTGGCTGTAAGTGAACTGATCTATTTGCACATTTTAAACAACCGATCAATGAAATAAACAAACGCCGGAAATTTTCTACCCGTTTAAAACAAAGCAATGAAATCCCTTTTTAACTCCACGGGAGTTTCCAAATCTGCTTTGAAAATAATAAAATAATCGCGCGAACATTTTTACCTGCCTTCACGGGAATTTCCTATTCTGCTTACGAAATAATCTCGGAAACTTTTCACTCTCGCATGATTTTACTCCTCACAGCGAGCTGGTATATATTGAGCTAAAAATCAGCTCAAGGCATCAGTCATCAATACTGAGTTGGTTGCGAAGACATAGTTTAAGTTTTTATTCAAGAAAGAAAACCAGAGGTGTTCATATTTAAAGCAATACCACACCACAAAAAAAAAATAAATAAATAAATAAAATGTTACCAAAGTTGCCTTTACTGATAACAACGCTTGTTATCCTTGTTATATTTCATGGCACCGTTGGCAGACCAATGTCCAAAGCAGATGCACCCAAAGATATGATCAACAAATTGCAAAGTATCTTTAAAGTTGGCGAAGGCATTATGGTATACAATATAGGAATCGCCAGAGAAGAACTTGAGGATGACGAAATCGTTTGCGCCGAACGTCGAGCTGGAAAGTCATATTGTAAGGAGGTTGAAAACTATATGGAGGCGACGCGGCTCGATAAAATTGACCCAGAACAGTTTGCTAAATTCAAAGAATATTTCATAGATGATTTGGCACAACCACAGTTGGTTGCAACTCGTATGGATTTTGGAAAGTCACCATGTAATAGTAAGACAAGCATTATATACCCTGAGAGTGCTGAGTCAGAGGATTCGAAATGGTTGTTGATAGTGCAGCATGCACAACACAAGCAAGGTGTTTTGGTAGAGGAGTGTGAAAATGTGGGGCAACCATGCGAAGAGAATAGTACTTTGCCACTGGAGGATATGCCGAAATGTAAACAAAACTTCAGCTATCGCAAGTTGGTTGTGTTGAAGAACGGCGAGATGAAGGAGGAAATGCTTAAATTGCCAACTACTTGCGAGTGCAGAATGTGCTCTACATAAAGATATATTCTATATAATCATAGAATTTAATAATATTTAATATACTTAATTTAGAATAGTGAAGACATTTTTGCTAAACTATACAAATGTTAAAATGTTAGTTTGTTTAATGATATAATTATAATTTTATAACCTCGAAAGCGGTAAATGAAGAAGAGTGATATTGTTTTGAGAATTTGTATAAAGAAATCTAAGATATAAAAAAAATTAGTTAGTACGTTGGTTTTCAATATTACTTTCATTACGAAAATGTATGAGAGTCGAATTAATTGGTGAAATTTCACTAAAACGGGCGATTCTGGAAAGACCATTATGTTACTGTCAATGGGGAAGCTTTAGAGTCATGATTCTTTTCGAAGATCGTGCTATTAACATCGTTGGAATATTTTTTCCTTAATTACTTTAAAAATATACTTTAATGCGAAAATAAAGAATTTACCCGGAATATTTTATTTAGTTAAGGATTAGGGTTTCAAGGTAAAGAAAAAATATTTTATTTTTTTTTTGTTAATTTATTTCTTAAATACGGATTGAGTAATTTTATTCGGACCTATACTACATTATTGAGAACACTTTTAACAATTCTTGAGTCTTGAGAAAAAATGGAAATTATCCAAAATTAAAAAAAAAAAGCTGCCGAAGGTCCTGGCAGCCAGTGCTCCTTTTTCGTGGTAATTTGTATTATTGTTTCACGTTTAGTAAAATAAAATAAAAAACAAAGAAAAGTTAGTCAAATTATAATCAAATTACCTCCCATCGTTGAGTAGATCAGATTATGACACTAAAAAGCGAAAAAAAATTAAAACAAACAAATGAATAAGCAATGAATCTGAAACAAAGTTTTAAATGAATCGGCCAAGTTCATAGTAGGCAAATGAAATTGGAGAAGCAATTTATTATCAAATCCTTTCATGTTTAAATAAAACCAAATTTTATGTAAACTGTTAAATATGTTAAATATACGTTATAATATAATCTCACTTTATAATCACACTTAAACATATGTATGTTAATAAAAAACTGTTATACATTAATTTGCATGGCATTGAAAAGTGTGCGATTATCTCAGCGTAGACAAATAATGTATTCAATTAAACATATAGTTGTTTTTCTGCGATTGCTCAATTGAAGCATGTTTTTATGCCTATGCAATATATCCGTGTCAGGATTTATGATTTGTAATTAATCCTTATTGATTTTGTTTGCGTTTACGTATTTCAAGCTGCTGGAAATACACTACTTTTACAGATGCAAAGCAAAGATATTATACTTATAACAAGTTAGCCAAATTTATTTAAATCAATAATTTGATATTTTCGATTCAAAAACATAACATATATTTTAATTCATTGCAAATAAACTTTGGGAATTTTTGATTGACATGAGATAAGTGTTTCTTAAAAATCTCAGGCCTTTAGGTTATTCATGTTAGAGATATGATAGAGGAAAAGAGTTGTGAGAAAAACTAGTTTAATGTTTCAAGTTTGCTTAAACAGTAGCTGAACAGCTCCTTCTTTTAACCGACTTTGAATTTAAAAAAACAAAAAAATCGGTTTAATGGCGTATTTGAGACATGTAATGAAAGCAATTTATGAAGAATACAATGAATCGATTTCTTGAATCTGGCCGAATGAGCTTCAACACACCACACTAGCCCACCACATTATGCATATGCACAACACTGACATTCACCATTTCACAACACACATTCCACATAACTACGCAACAAACTAACACCATCCATAATGACACCGCAATTGCAGATATCACACCTGGCCAACATTCCACACCAAACATCAAAGAAAAGGGATAACGATTAGCGGTCCGACCTCTTTTCGATACCACGATTGCCCGGAAACGACGACACGCTGTTCAATCTATCCGCCAGTCAATTTTAAATCTTTTAAATTCAATATTTTTGCGATTGAGTAAATGTAATTTCGCAAAAGAAAGCTATGAATTTGTATATGTTATCGATAGAACCCATCACATGGAATGACCCATAATAATATTGAGAAAATTTATGAATTTTGTTAAGTTGGAAAAACCACCCACAGTCGCTTCAACCAATACTGATGTTAAGACGTCCACCCTCGGAAAGTGTTCATTAATTTAGAACTAACAATTCTTGCCGTTGAGAGACAAAATAATATCATTTCGATATTCACATCTTGTGTGATCAAGAAAATATGTTGAAGTACTTTTTAACCAATTTACTACGTTCTGCCAACAAAATCTTTCTCTTCCCTCTCCTTACTTATTTTATTATTTTATTGGCAAAATCAAGACTTTCATAAAAGAAAAATTAAATAATAAACAAACACAAAGTTTTAAATTCATCACGAAGATTTTATTATGGAAATATACACGCAAGTCGTTGCAAAGAATTATGGTTTTATGCAGAAGAGTTTACAAATAATAATAGATTTTCCGCATTTCATAAGACAATTTCACCATTGGGATAGAGTGATTTGACGAATCGCTGTTATAATTCAGTTCGCTGGATCTTTTCTCACAAGGGCTTAGCTTCTTTCCGTCGTCCTCTTCGGTATCGGTAAATAGCTTCTCATTAGAGATATGCAAATCGTAGTATTTGGGAGCATCGTGAAAACAATTTTCGGTGGTATCATCTTTAACACTAAATGGTTCTGTTACTAAATGATCCGCACGGATTACTCTTTCGTTCCGCTGGCTTTCATGTTTCGGTAAAGGCGAATTGGTGAGAATAAATTTTACTGGTGCTATCGAATCTGCAAATGCTACCATTTTTGCCCGACTGTTACGAATGGATGGTACCGCTTTTAACGAATTTGCAAATGTCACTTTTTTCTTGCGCTGGATTTCATATTTCGGTAAAGTTGAATTACTACGAATCGCTATCGATGATGCTATAGGATCCGCAAATGTCACCCTCTTCTTGTGCTGAATTTCATATTTCGGTAAAGTCCAATTTTTTCGAATCGAGTTTGCTGGCGCTGTCGAATTTTCAAACACCTTTTGCTTTTGGTTCCTATTATTTACAGATTTCGAGAGAGTGGAGTGGCTTCGAATCAATAGTGCAGGTCCTACTGAATCCACAAATGCCACATTTTTATTCCGCTGGTTTTCAGGTTTCGTTGAAGTCGAATTCCTAAGAATAGATGGTGAAGGTGCTACCAAATCTTCAAATGTCATATATTTGTTCCGTTCGCTTTTAGATTTCTTTAGGGTCGAATTTCTACGAATCGATGGTAATGGTGCTAGAGGGTACACAATTGTCATATTTTTGTTCAAAGAGCTTTCATATTTCTTTAAATTCGAATTCCGAAGAATGCGTACTGAAGATGGTACCGAATCTGCAAATGGCACTTTTTTATTACGCTTAATATTTATTTCGAAATCATCACTAGAATCTTGACATGTCACTGTCTTCTTACAGCGCATCCTTTTTCTGAATACTTTGTTGGAGGGTAAGGCTTTGACAGTACGTTGCTCGTCCACGGCATCCGCCATTATTTGCAAAGCTGCATTTTCCTTTTTTCCAGGTAAAGCTATGTGTTGAGTACATATGTTCTTATCTTCAAATTCGGTCTTAATCTGGTTTTCATACTTCGTTAAATGCGAATTCCTACGAATCGATGATGAAAGTGCTAACGAGTCCACAAATGACACTTTTTTCATCTGTTGGCTTTCATATTCAGTTAAATTAAAATGCTTTCGAATGGATGACGCAGGTGCTACCGAATACACATATGTCAATTTTTTGTTCCTCTCACTTTTAGAATTCTTTAAAGACGGATTTCTAAGAATCGATGGTACTCGTGTTATAGGATCCGACGTTGTCACAGTTTTCTTCACCGGGCTTTCATATTTCGTTAAATTCGAATTCCTTCGAACCGACGGTGCAGCTTCGATCGAATCCACAAATGTCACTTTTTTATTGCTCTGAATATTCATTTCAACATCACTGGAATCTCGATGATTTGTTGTCTTCTTTCTGCGCTTTTTTCTCCTCAATACTTTGTTGGTAGGAAAGCCTTTAAGAGTATGTAGACCGACCACGGCATCCGCCATTATCTGCAAGGTTGCATTGTCTTCTCTTCTGTGTAAAGGTATGTGTTTTATACATATGCTGTCATTTTGAAATTCATTCTTCATCTGGCTTTCGTATTCTGTTAAATTCGAATTTTTACGAATCGATGCTGAAGGTGCTATCGAATCCACATATGTCACTTCTTTGATCCGCTGCTCTCTGTCAGATTCTGTTTGAGTCGATTTGCTGCTTGCCGATGGTTCTGGTGCAGTAGGATCTGTAATTGTCATACTTTCCTTCTCCTGACTTTCATATTTCATTAAATTCGAAATCTTAAGAATCGACTGTACAGGTGCTAGCGAATCCACAAATGTCTCTTCTTTATTTCGCTTGCTTTCAGATCCCGTTAAAGTCGAATTTATACAAATCGATGGCCCCCGAGCTATGGAATTCACTTTTTTATTCTGCTTGCGCTCAGATACAGTTAAGGTCCATTTGCTGCGTGCCGCTGGTTCTGGTGCTATAGGATCCGCAATTGTCGTATTTTCTTTCTCCAGATTTTCAAATTCCGTAAAATTTGAATTCTTAATAATTGATTCTAAAGATTCTACCAAATCCAAAGAAGTCACTTTTTTATTCTGCTGGCTTTCAGATTCTGTTAAAGTCGAATTTATACAAACTGATGGCTCCAGTACTACCGAGTCCGCAAACGCCACTTCTTTATTCCGCTGGCTTTCAAATTCTGTTGAAGTCTCTTTGTTGCAAAGTGATGTTGGTGCAACCGACCTCACAAATTCCACTTTTTTGTTTAGCTTGAATTTAAATATCGACAACGTTGAATTGTTTTCAACATTCATTTCAAAACCTTTACTGGAATCTTGACGTTTCACAATCTTCTTACTACTCATCCTTCTCCTCAATGTTTTCTGAGGCGGAAAGCCTTTGAAAGTATATTGACCAACTACGGCATCCGCCATTATCTGCAAGG